AGGCTTATTTCTGCCATTCTGACTAAACTAGTTATAATATATTAAAGTAAGTACATCCAGAGTTGGTACAAGACACCTTTTTCAGAATTTTAACTTTTACAGATGCACAAGTGATGCTTACAAATACTGTAAAGCTGTTAAATTGTATCTACAGTACACATTCAACATGTTCTTTAAGTACGTTAAGGGACTATAACCTACAATGAAAATGTAAATCTTATTTACATAAAAATATTGGTTTGTTTTTTTTAAACTAAGAAAAAAAATTAACAGGAAGTCTATACTGAACATTGCATTGTCAAAGAAGAGCAGAACTACAATAATGTTATTTTTTACATTGAGTACACAACCATAGTGTATTCTGAGTGTTCAAGGTTATGATAGATACATTCCTTCATTTATCTATCACTAATGACAACTTAAAACAAAAATGCATTATCTGAAACAGAACACCAATTGGACTGTAAAATGCTACGGTGTTAAAGCAGATATAATCTACAGAAAGATAAGAGAGTGCAGATCTTGGAATCCTTTTACTCCAAGCTATAAGATGGGAGTAATCGCTGAATGTTCTTAGAGTGAAATATGAATGAAAGTGTCATATCATTCAGTGGCCATGACTCTGCAGAGCACCAGTGAAGTTTTTGCAGAGGTTGAGATTTAAGTTAATGCACAGTACTGCAGTGCCCCCTGCTGACCATAGGACACATTTCACCTTTAAAACACTTCTCTGCCCCTGGAAAGTTCACTGGGAGAAAAGAATCTATGAAAGAATTTAATTAATATTCTATGAGTTGCTTTAGTCCAATACACAATGCCAAAGAGACTCAGAGCATACCAGTTACTCTGAGCATCTACATATGCACTGGCCATAAGTTTTTGCACTGTGATTCTTGAATTATATTGACTAGCAGACATTTTTAAATTAAACATTTACACCATATTCTTAATGAAGGCTGCCAAAATAGTGCATCAGTTCACTGCTTTATGGGCCAGCATTACAACTGCACTGGTTGTACTGACAAAAAACTGAAAACAACATGCACATATCAAGTGACTAAATGAAGTGGCTGCACAATTTTCTTCCAGATAAAAATTAAAAAGACTGATATCTATTATGCCGTTTTCCAGAATTTCCATTCTTTATCTTTGCACTCTAGTACCGTGCCTTTTTATGAGTCACAGTTCAAAATAAACATGAATCCACTTCAATTATTTGTATAGCCCAATATAACATGTATGGGTTCAAAGGGCTTTTCTGGGGGTTAAGGAGGTTGATAAATATATTAAAAGAGATATTTAACAAATGAACAACCCATTAAAAATGCATATATGCACACCCACAAGTTTATAAACAGCTCATACATAAAAATAAATAATACATAAAGTCCCACAAAAAAAACAAGGAAAAATATAATGAAGAAGCAAACTTAGAAGTAGAAGAACTTTGCACCGTATCTCCCAGACTACTGAATCGAGTCTCACCAGAACTGACAGTGGTATTATTATTAAGTGGAAATACTAGTTGAATACCAGATTTAAAGCGTGTTTATAACAGTTTCTTGAAATTGGCCTTAGAGTCTACTTCTCTAATATTTTGAGGGAGAGGCTGTTTCAGAGTTTGTGGGTATAATGTGCAAAAGCTGCATCCCCAATTTTTTTCTGTGAGGAGTACTGCGTAGCTAACAGTTTGGCAGTGGAAGATCTAAGAAGGCAAACTCGGATGTAAAGTGATTAACTGTCAGACCATTTAAGATTTGTTTATATAAATAAAATATTTTTAAATCAATTCTGTAGGATTCTGGAAGCCAGTATCTGTTATTGGTTTCCATTAATGCCCTTGCAGCAGACTTCTGACTAAGCTACAGCTTACTGAACGTTGTTTTAGGAAGCCCTGCAAAAAGGATGTTGCAGTAATCCAGTCAAGTAGAAATGAAAATCATCTTATACTAGGCGTTGATGCAGCCCCTCAGGCTATGCAGTGTCTGAAACAGGTTACTGTAACTTCAAGCCAACTTTCTTCTAATTGGGTCCCCCTCAAGAACAGAAAGTTTGAACAGCAGAAGGGTGAGGCTGCTGATACAAGGAAATATCTGATCTGTTTGGCATTATACAGAGTTGAGAGTATGAATGGTAACAACGTGCTTGTAAAGCATCCACTACAAACAGCACAACCTTAAAATCTAACATCTGTAAATTTCTTGAAAAAGAAAGTCAATAAAATGCAAAGGTGTTATTACTAACTAATGCTATAAACAATAGGTATACAGTAGGAGGTCTAGGGGAGAGAGAGTGATTTACCATCCCCGCCATCTTCTCGTCTTCGATAACTTGACCTCTCGACAAAGCTGGTGACGGTCCACACAATTACCTTCAATTATCTTCACTTCCAGCTCACCAATTACATCCATTATTGATTCCAGACCCCCAGGCTGTAAACCTTATCTATACCCAACCATAGCCCATGATAGAGAAAGTAGAATAGGGCCAAATAATAGCACCTTGCTTCTTCTACATTCTCCAGCTTTTCAGTCCATCTATGTGACATCATCACCTATTTCAAGGATATTGCTTCACACTGCAGTGCCCTTGAGAAACAACTTCTGTGAATGGCATAAAAATTATTTGTGAGCAGTTATGACTCTGCTAAAATGATCTATGCACCAGAGTGCAAGTTAGTTACCACAAAAAAATATGTTTAAATGACCTCCTGAGTCAGAAAACTGAATAAAAGTCCAGGCAAACAATATAGCTAAAGGTTGACTTTTTCACAAAGAAAATCCAACAAATTCTTCTTAAAATTTCAACGCATGTTGTGTGGAACAGCAAAGAAAACACACACACTTTTTCTTTCTATATAAAGATCCATTGTGAAGCTTTAGGAAACAATGAAAACACATGTCTGTCTGTAGAAAGCAAAGTAAGACAGAGAGGGATGACAGTGAGACAGCGAGGATTGAAGGTCAGCTACACAGTATGGAAGCTGTAAAACGCAGGATCACACTCTGCAGCTCTCCTGCCAGATTTTTTAATATGATACTTGCTGACATTTAGTGAGACACAAACATAAGCTGCTGTCATCACACACTAATGTAAAACATCCATCATCTTGAATACATGCCAGGGCACCTGCAGAGGGCCGTATCAATGATGCCCTACTGCCATCTCCTGTTACAACAAACTTGAAGAGCTCAGCTCCATGACTGATTTGTAATGCAACACTGCCCCCATGAGGACGTATGAAATTAAATATAAGTGCACGAGAAACTTGCCTCTTTATGCGTGTAGCTCACTCTCCCACCAGGTGTTTAAGATACCAACTGTGTTCAGGGTTGCAGTACCCTAAACTTCACTTTAATATCTGCCACTGATACAGAGAACGCTGCAGAAAGCTTAGAAGCACTGAATGGTTGGTATTAAAAACAACAAAGAAACCTAATTAATTTTTAACTTTATTTTTGAGTTGCACAAAAATGCTTTAATTCAAATTAATAAAAAATTTCTAACAAATAAAATACAAAAAGCTGCATGTTTACCCTGTAGCGTGCATCTTATAGGTTCATGTTTCAAGTTTTTGTTGTTGCCGTTTTACAATATTATGATGCATATCTTCCATTTTATTATACATATAATACTATATTAAACGTAATTATCTATTTTTAAAAATTGCTAACTATTAAGCAAGGCGGTAATCTGATAGACATGACTTAACTGATACTATGAAAATATTTCACTATTTTAAAATCGGCATAGCAAAACTCTTGACAGTGTAATCTGAATTCAAATTTTCTTCGATTTTATCACTGATCTGGGTTGATGATTTTCTGTAATCTGTGTTAACCGGTTCAAATGCTATCCTTCAGCTACTGCCCGATCTTGCTATGTTTCCGCGTAAAACTTTGCATGAGTCTCATAATTAAAGTTGTGCAAATTAGTTGTGTATTATTAGGGAAAGAAATAAACACGAGAAAATGAACAAGTAACAGCTTAGTCAACTAACCTCTTCGAAGAATCTATGTTCATTACAGAAAGCAGCCTGGCATCTCTATGTCACAGGACCATAGCCTATTGTTGTTGGGGGGTTTTCTGTTTGTTTGGGTGGGGTTTTTTGTTTTTTTTTTTACTTGGTAATGATGGGGTCTGAGTAGGGGAGTAGCTTTTATTAACATAAAATAAAGATACTTTATTTTTTTGTGGTTTCGTGTTTGTTTGTTGCCAAACCGGATTAGACCACTTTTGAATAACGACCATCTTCTGGCGCCTGCCGCCGTTGAATAGAAAGGGGCGTGGTTCGACAGGTCTTATGTGGCGTTCAATGAGTACAGGAAAAGTTAGTTTTCAGTGCAGAATCGTAAGCTATGGGCTTCATTGCAATGAAAAAAGGTCCGTGTTATATTAAACTGGACATTTAGTGACGTCCAGGTTTTCTAAACGTGGAAAATCAGCAAAAACTACTTAGTTTGATCTTTTATTTACTAAGATAAACTTTATGTTTCATATTTCCATACCCTCATTCATTTTTAATTACTTTTCCCTCTCCAAAAAACATAATAAAGGCTCTGAATATAGTACGTATTTATTTTCAACAGTTTTGTAGGGGTTCATTTAAAAAATCGAGAATTTAAAAACTGACATAATAAAAAGTGAAGGTATGTTTAATATTTATGTCAGGTTGACACATCGTCAATGAGTTGTTAACTAGAATCAGTTTAAAGAAAACAATGAAACAATGTCTACAAAGTATTTATGTGCACGTTTGTTATTGTAGTTTCAGTTCTTGTGTATTACTCTTACGGTTGCGCGGCAGGCACTTGAAAGCATCACTAGTGCAGCTCACTGTTGTGTGCGGTCTGTTAGTTGTGTTTGGTGCTGGCTCCCCTCTGTCCTCCATTAAAGCTCGGCTCCATCCCCGCTGTACGGCGCAGGCCCGAAGTAGCGCAGCCGCTCTGAGGTTAGTGCCCTACCGCGCAATCTCCATCTATTTCAGCCCCGGCGCAGCCGCATCATCGAACCCGGCAGCGTTGGGGTGAACGATGCAGATTGTTTAGATGTTGACTGGAGTCGGATTGTATTTTAAATCTGTTTTTGGGGGGAATCGTGATCTAGGCGCGTATCGACTTCAACCTCGGAGAGAGAAGAATAGCTGAGGATGAGCCCACAGGCCCGGGCCTGTTATGGCGTTATGTTTTTGTGTGATTTTTTTGCGCGGGTTTCGTGCTAGCTGCTACATTACGATGGCTTTCATTGCGCCCTGTAATCGTTCTGTTTAGTGTCTGAACGTGGAAAATTGTTGGCAGAATTCGTGTTATTTTAGACGACCGGCTTTATACCGCCAAATGGTTAGCTAGGCAGCTAATTAGCTGAATGTAGGGCATTGCTAGCTTAGCTCAGTGAAGCAGTCGTTGACAGTAGACCGGCAGATCCGGCTAACTGTACATTACTGTCTGGCACGATCAATTCTTTATCCGGTCCTGTGCAAAATTAAGCTGGTTGCAGGTCACTAAATTGGTTACACATACACATTCTTGTGGAGTTGTGCGTTTCGTGCATCACTGGTCTCCTCAGTGTCTAGACTTCATGTACTGCAGCTGGCAATAAATATATTAGACTGAAATGAATGACCTGAATTTCAGTTGCATTTATTTATGTATTTTTTTATTTTGGTGGGGGGCCAGTATTGACGTTCTTGTAGGCCACTGTAAAAGTTAAAACAGTGCGTGCAGATACATGATTATAAAACTATTCTATAAATCATCTTTGCACTGTATCAACGAAGCAGATTATCTACATGAAACGGTCTCCTTTCATTTATTCATAAACCTTTTAACCCTGTAAGTTGATTGATTTGGAGTGAACATAAGCATTTGTGTGTGTGTTAGTGTGCAATATATGTTTATTTTTCCTCAGCCACACTACAGTGTAACTCCACATATTCACATATCCAGTTTTCCAAATTAATATGGAGTTTCCCATACTGTCAAAACAATTTTAAAGACCCTTTAGTTGGACATTAAATTGTGATTTGTATCTAAGTTGTGCTAAGCTATCTATTACTGGGTGGAATGCACATCTTCCAAATTCATCACCTGTAACACCTAACATAAGTGCCCTCTATGGGCAGAGTGAAAGTGGTACAGTCAGACATGAGTGAAAAAAATGAAACGTTCTTTTCAGACAATACTCTTCCAAATGAAATTCCCTATTAATGCAGTATGACGTCCTCTGGAGGCAGAGCGGCAGTGGTGCACTAAGCACAAACACAAAGACACCATAGCATCTATCTTCATCAGACAGCTCTCCCTGTAAAAATAAATGACAGTGGCAGCTGTGCATGGTCACAGTTTTGTCTGAAATATCGTAACACTTCCAAATTCTTGTTGCATATGAATTCATTTAAGTGTATAAATAAATACCAGCATATTGTCTTGTTAAGATAACATATCAGTATTCGTTAAATTTGATGTGCTTTGATCACTTCCCTCTTTCTTTCCTCAGTAACTGTACTGTGGACCTAGCTGTGTAGACCAGCTGGCTGATAATGGATGAGCACTCCGTTCACCAGACAGAGCACATGACCACCATTGAGGCTAGCGCTGTCAGTCAGCAGGTGCATTTACAAACATAATAAATGGTGTAAATTAGAAACAAATTTACTGATATTAATCACTCATCTTGTTAAATTACCGACCCAGATCAGAAATCTCAACACCCCACTAAAGTGCAAGTCCCAGGTTCATTCATTCATTGATTCGTGTATAGGTACATGTGACCACCTTGACTGACACATCCATGATGAGCGCTGAGGAAGACTCGACCTCCTCGCCAGATGACGATCCATATGATGACACAGACATCCTCAACTCGGCTGGCACTGATGAGGTCACAGCTCACCTGGCTGCTGCAGGTGAGTCTAAACTCTGTGCTGTTTCCAGAGTGTGTTAGTTGGGTCTGATCAAAGTTACAAGCAGAAGTGCTTCACGACCTGTAGACTTATGTTGATAATTGTTATTAAGGTTGCAAAGTTTGTGGCAAATTAGACGGTCAACTCCTTACAACAGACCATTTTTTGTTTATTTTTTTATTCTTCTTAGCAGCTATGATTAATTATACAAGCCTGGTAAATCCCATAATGCCATAATTTAAGCAAAATGCTTTCAATTGAGCAACAGGTGGCGCCAGTGGATTAGTTGTGTAGGCAGCGTTGCCTTTGTCAAGCCTCTGCCATGTTTGTTTTTTTTTTCATCTTTATCCCTGAAAGTTGACATGATTTGAAATTAAATCGGTGAAATGCTATTTCATGTCTTTTTAAAAACATATTTTATATTTAAAAAAAGAGAACAATAAACAGTAACAACCACATGGGCTTTAAAAGCTCAAATCAGAGAAGGAAAATACTTTGTCTCTTTTTACCTTTGGTAAAATCTCTCCTCCTCCTCTTTCTTTCAGGGCCAGTGGGTATGGCAGCTGCTGCTGCTGTAGCAACTGGGAAGAAAAGAAAAAGGCCTCATATCTTTGAATCTAACCCTTCCATCCGTAAGAGACAGCAGACTCGTCTGCTCAGGTGGATCTAATAGCTTTTCTGACAGCAGCTACGGTGACCAAAATATCCCTCGCTCAGCTCCTAGGGTAGAATTGTTGTTGTGCTTTGTAGCTTTTAATCTGAACACAGAAGTAAAGGATGGTGTTTGTTAACAGGAAACTGCGAGCCACGTTGGATGAGTACACCACTAGAGTGGGCCAACAAGCCATAGTGTTGTGCATCTCCCCCTCCAAACCCAACCCTGTGTTCAAGGTGTTTGGTGCTGCTCCTCTGGAGAATGTGGTAAGTCTTATAAATAGAGCAGGTAGAAAGCATTAGTTTGTAACACAGTGAAACTTACCATCACACCAAACCTCAGTGTTCTCCTTCATTTATTTCAGTGAAGCCCTCTCAGTCATATGCAGTGTTTCCCTTGTCATAAGTATACACTGCATGTTAGATAAACTGAATCTGCTTTACATCTTTCTTCCTAAAAACTATTTGTGTATTAAAAATACTCATAATTTTATAGCTAATAATAATTTATTAAAGGCCATATTGATTTTGTCTTAATAACATAACCAAAAAAAAGGCATGTAGTTACTTATCTTTGACCAGGTATCTACTAGCAAATGTTTTCTTCAGTGATTTATTTAAACCTGCTATCACTCTTAAAAGCTCAGGCTGACACACTGTGATGTATCTTTCATGGATACTAGGTAAGAAAGTATAAGAGCATGTTGTTGGAGGACCTGGAGAACGCCCTGGCTGAACATGCCCCTGCAGGTGGAGAACTCGCCTCAGAGCTGCCCCCGCTCACAATTGATGGCATCCCCGTCTCTGTGGATAAGATGACCCAGGTAAGGCTTACTGCGGATTTATTCTTTAGTGGGGAATCTACGCCGTAGCTACGTCTTAACTGCAAACTCGAATTTATCAGTGAGAGAATAACAATCATCATGTCAATTTAAAGGACAATAAAATCAATATAGGAATTGCCAGCAACAACCTCAGCCACTTACATGTATGCTGTAGGCTCTACAAAGTTTCCCCGCAGAAATCTAAATAAGGCCTTCTCTCTATTCTCTAGAAGTGCTAAAGTTTACTCGCTTTTTCCTTTGTACAAATTCACTAATACACACACACACTACTCCCAGCAGAGGGCACCAGCCGCTAACAAACCAGGAAGTTTAAACTATGTCTTCTAACTAGTGAGAGGAAGAGCTTAGCTAACTACATGTAGCAAGGTCAAATGCTTATTTGTAGGTGTGTTGTCCACTAGCTCATTTTTGATGTTTTTGATTAATCTATTCAGCAGTCATGCATTTATTCTCATCCTGAAGAGCAGCATCACCATTAAAATAAACTCTAATCTGAGAAAAAGCTAATCCTTCTCTTTGATAAGCAGAGCAGCCATTGTAGGCCGTTCATCGTAGCGTTAGTACCACTGGCAGGCCTGAATTTTCTTTTCAGCCCAGGGGAGCATGGCTTGTTTACTCTGCCGTCCCAGTGCTGCTGACGCATTCTCTAGATCATCGTCACAGTAGGCAGCATGACAGTGGCCCTCAGAGACGATCCACAACCCTCGGCGCGCGTTAGCCAATCCCAGTGCCGGATGAATCCTTGGAGGCCAGGTGTTAGTTGGAGCTTGTTTTTCTGGAAGTAGTAGGATGAGATTATCGCGAGTAACCTGTTGCCTCACTCAATTTCGACAAGCCGGGTGGAAAGGTGTGGGGTGGGTGTTTTTACAGATATGTGTGTGCTGCGCGTTGGAAACAGGAAGTTGTTTAGTCCTTCTGGGAAAAGCTAGTAAACCTTGGCCAAGGAATGAGATGAGAGGAAGCTAATTTAGTAGAGACACCCAGTTCGTATCAGAAACATGTCTTCTAAAAGGATATCTGCAGTAGAATTTTATACAGCTGAAGAAATCCCAAATGAGGTTAAGCAGAGGCCCTAGTCTGTCAGATATATGGAGCATCTGTAGCAGGTGATCCCACGACTAGCTTGAGCTCATAATTACCCCCTTGCCTTGTTAGGTTCAGGAACCCAGCAACATAACAGCCTTCCTGAAGTCTGATTGGACCACTGCTTGGAGGATTAGGATTGGGGTGGGGTGGTGGGTGCGAGGGCAACATGCCACTTAACTCGCTAGCCACTGTAATTTGGCCATCTGGCCTTGCACAGATACATCCACATACGTCGCCATCATCGCAGGTGTAAATGGGAGAATAATTTTCCTACAAGGCTTTTTCGCAGGTTAATGCAGGTTGCTGAGCTAGTGTTGGCTCTGGTGGAGCTCCATTACGTGGAGGGTTTGTTGTTCGAAAGCTGGCGCGAAGCACCGACACTCCATTTTCTATCAAGATCCATTTTCTCATATCTGTTTGCGTGATGCACTGAGGAGCTGTGTGACTGTGAGTTAGAAAAGGGGGGCCTAACGGGGAGGAGGGAGGGATTTATTTCTCCCGGAACCAAATTTAGCTTGTGATGTCAAGGCAGGCGGACGCTGCAGTGCCTCATTGTGCAATATAATCCCCCGGTGATGCTTGCATATTACCGGGACGCCGAGGACACTGGCACTAAACCCCCACCTCGGCATGTCAGTGAGTGTAAGCGCGCGCCTGCTCGGGCTCTGTCGACATGATGGGCAGTGCGTATGCGTGCCACTCACTACTGCACATGAAGTATGCATACAGACGATCGATAACAAGCAAATCAGATGAGATTAAGAACGTCATCCGCTCGCTTTTTCACCTTGTCAGGCAGCTGTTATTCAAGTTTAGAAACTAGATGCACCATAAAGCTCGGATTTTTAGCTTTTAGCGCAACAACATTTTCACCAGCTGGTCACCTGCAAAATCAGCACTTTTTACTTCATTGTAAGATATTCCAAAACGGTGGACAAGCACTTGATAAATGGACTGATTCTTACATCTATACAACATGCCACATTCACGTTTCTTCTAAGCTTTTAGTGCTTCCTAACAAACATTCACACTCTGATGGATGCATCGGAGAGCAACTTGGGGTTAGTATCTTGCCCAAGGATCCTTGGCATACAAACTGGAGGAGCCAGGGATTGAACCACTAACCTTCCGATCAGTAGGTGACCTGCTCTACCTCCTGAGCTACAGCCACCCCATCTTGATACCGTCTTGATAGAGTCTGTTGACAATAAAGAAATAAGTCTGTACAGTGCACCTATTAGCACAGAGTTAATGCAGTGCCCTTGTTTGACAGTCAATTTTAATTTTTAACAATACTGACTGTCTCGTCCTTGTTAATACCTCTGCTCAGTGTCCTGGAGCCTTTGTTGGAACAGGCTGTCTGTTGGATCACCTCTGATGTGCTCGCAGTGTCTGTCTGATACGTCAGGCTGGAGCCATAGCCATAGATTGGTCTTGTTAGTAAACCTGACCCCATTGTTCTCCTTTTAGAAGGTCTGTTTCTATTTTCAGGCCTTGACCACCTCAGCACATGCTGCAGGTACCTAATGCACGCCTCTCGCAGCCTGCTCAAGGGCGTGTATGCCCTGCAGCTTTGCACATTATATTTCTGTCTATATAATCTGTTTTTTCCATGCATTTTTTTTCCTCTTTTATTTTCCTTTAGGCACAGCTGCGAGCATTTATCCCAGAGATGTTGAAGTACTCAACAGGCAGAGGGAAGCCTGGCTGGGGTAAAGAGAGCTGCAAGCCAGTGTGGTGGCCCGACGACATCCCCTGGGCCAACGTTCGCAGTGATGTGCGCACAGAGGAGCAGAAACAGAGAGTAAGACAAACACTAGTATAACGTGATATTTTGCTGGGAAAGAGTACAAGGTTGTAAGTGCACAAAATGAATGTAGCTTGTGAGTACAGATCACTCAACAACAAAAGATTTTTATAGATCCGAAAGTGACAACAAACTAAACAGATGTTGTATTGTCCACCCATGAGAAAGATTCTTTTTACACAGTGTTTTAATCCTGTTCTGTTACATTAGCTAGTTCTGTTTGGTGGTGTCTAAAGATCCAGAGCTCTTGCCTTTGCAAGAGTCACCTGCCACGTGTAATTCAGTGACAGTGATAACAGTCCTTAAAGACATAGTTGATGGCATTTTGGGAAATGCCCATATTTGGTTAACTTAGAACAGTAGTTCTAACTACTAAGCCATCCTAGACAACTTTAGGATTTGGATCATTGCTTCCTTAGTGACACAAGTCGCTTTAAGATAGATTGGTGTCATATGATGTAACATACCAGAGAAAGACGCAAAGATACCATATGAAGGAGTAAAAGATACAGTAAGCTTGTTTTATTAGCATACATACAGCAGAATATAGTAGTAAATTGTTTTGCAGACCTCAAGGAAAATTGCTACAACTCATGAATCAACACTTTAAATATGAAGCTACAGCTAATGCACACCTTTGAAGCTCATTATTTTTTCCTCTTAATATAGCATGAGAAGAACAGGCTTTAGAGGTGCTGGTAAGCCAAGTCTATGCACTTTTAGTAGAACCAGCACAGCTGTTAACACCTTTTCTGTCATTTATTTTGTGTTTTCTGTGTATCTTCTGAGATAGCTTTAGAGCAAAGGAAACAGGCGCATGTCTATTCATTATTACGGTTTAATTTAATCCCATTGTACATAATTCATATTTATCATCTGATTATATTAAGAGATGTACCATGCCTTAGAGTCATCAGTCTTAAGAATTTTTGCTGACATTAAATTGTGTCTGTACTTCCTCAGGTCTCTTGGACGCAGGCGTTGCGAACCATAGTGAAGAACTGCTATAAGCAGCATGGCCGTGAGGATCTATTATATGCTTTTGAAGACCAGCAGGTAACCACGGCAACCACCACCCAGCACCACCTGACCACTGCACAAAGTATCGCTCACCTTGTGCCCTCACAAACCGTGGTACAGACCATCAACAATCCAGATGGAACAGTCTCGCTTATCCAGGTGCGTTTTATTCACTGCATGGCTTTTATACTCCTGAGTGGGAGTTTTTGCCCTTCTTGTTGTTTTTTACAGAGCCTAATGCACTTGGTGGAAATGTATTGTTTTCAGGTCGGTACAGGACACACAGTTGCCACTCTTGCGGATGCGTCGGAGCTGCCTGGTGTGACAGTTGCACAAGTTAACTACTCAACGGTAACTGAGGGAGAGGTAACACCCACATGCGTTCAAACGTGCCTAGAAATCGTTCTTTTATCAAAAACCATACTGAAACACATTAAGTTATTTACTGCACACATAGCCTCTTAAAAATGCACTCTATTTAATACCACAAAATCAAAACTAAAGCCACAAGTCCATCAATCTAATACCGGCAATATTTGCTCAGTCTCATTACCTCGTTGCTAATGTTCATCTACACTTATGGTCAGAAGTGTAAATCCACACAGGGCCAAATGTATACATGCAGGCTCATATATATTACATATATCCAACTAATATTTGGTAGCTTAGCATATTGCACCTTGACCAGACCATTTTGCTTACCATTGCAAGCTTCTGGCATTAGACGTGGCTGGATATTTAACACTCTTCTTGTTCATTTAAATTGGTTAGTGGTCCAAAAGCTTTCAGTAGGGTTGAGGTTGGGCCATTACAAAAGCTTTATGTCGTCAGCCTGTTTTCTGCACTCTAAAATTAGTTTTGATATATCATTTCCCTGTTAGAAAACCTGTGTCGAAGTTTGAACTGTTCTGATTTAAAGAACTTGGAGGTAGTCTTATTTATTCGATCCACATTGTGTAATGTACAAGTACCACTGATTACCAAATAGCACTAGCGCATGATGCTACCACCATCATGCTTGACAGTGACGCTGGTGTTCCAGCAGTTTCCAGCTCATGGCAGGCTTGAGCGTTGGTGGTTCTTGGGTTCTTTCTGAATATCCCAAACAATTGCCTCTCATCAGGGGGGACAGTTTGGGTGTTCTTCCAAGTTGGCAAAGGGGTGAAAATCGGAAAAACTTGTTCTCGCATAAAACTATTTGAACTGATGAAATCTTTAGTTATTTAGAAATGGCTCCAAGAGATCTTCCCAATTTGTGGAAATCTACAATTTTCCTTTTTAAGATTTTCACTGAGTTACTTGGAGTATTGGTCATTTCTACCAGCTGTAGTTAAATAATGAACACTAGCAAGAATTAATTGGCCTCGTCAAGTTAAAACACATTGTTGAACCTTCAACAAATCCTGTTAGTGTGTTGTGAGCGTATGTTCATATTTTGGCCTGTGTGTATAATTTTGACCCTGTGTGGAACAGAGAAAATGTAAATTATGTTTGCTATATAATCGTTTAATCCTAGTAAAAGAACAGCTCGAAGAAGAAGCCTAAAATTACCATGACATTCATGCTTCTGATAAGTGTATGTAAACTTAAGTATATACTTTGTTTTTCCTCCAGGTGGAACCAAGCTGGGCCACCCTGCAGGGCGGGGAGATGACAATCCAAACGACTCAAGCTTCAGAGGCCACGCAGGCAGTGGCATCCCTAGCTGAAGCTGCTGTCGCTGCTAGCCAAGAGATTCAGCCCGGAGCCACTGTTACAATGGCACTGAACAGGTGATTCTGACAGAGCTGAATATTATGTTATGTGATTTCCTGAGATATTATAATAGGTCTCTAACCTATTATAAAGGGGTGCACGCAGTGTAAACGGTCCAGGTACAAGGACAGGACTAAAAAATGCAAACTTAGATCTGGAGAAACTTTGCTCAAGACAACTTTTAAAAAGGTTAAAAAAAAATTACAAAATAGTCTGTTGTAATAGTAGCTAACATCCCTATGTTGTTAAGCCTAAGCCTACAAATGTGTTAACAGAGAAGAAAGTTTTGGTGCTATCACCAGAAAATACCAGAACCTTTTAAACAAAAAAAATGTTATTATCATGTCAAGTTTTAATTTCACTGAGAGAAAAAAAACACTAACAAGTATAAAAAATGTCATAAATGCACAGGCAGCTATAAGCAGCTGGATGAAAATGGGACAAATGTGTCAGAACAGGTTACTGGATTCCCTGGAGATACTTTTTGTCCTGTTTCAGCATCTAAATAATTAGCTTGTACCCTTTTATACCAGCAGCATGCACGGTGTAGAACCATTAAACCAGTTGTTAGGCACATATTTCACGTTCTAACAGCTCTTACCTGCTGATATGCAGGTAAGAGCAGATTAAAATAGCTGCATTTGAGATGTTGTGAGTATAAATACACAGCATTACATCTCTACTTCATTTAGGCTGCTGTGTTAGAAAAAGAAAAAAATGTTTTCAGTCCTATTATAGTCACAAGGGGCGATCGTGGCTCAAGAGTTGGGAGTTTGCCTTGTAATCGGAAGGTTGCCGGTTCGAGCCCCGGCTTGGACAGTCTCGGTCGTTGTGTCCTTGGGCAAGACACTTCACCCGTTGCCTACTGGTGGTGGTCAGAGGGCCCGGTGGCGCCAGTGTCCGGCAGCCTCGCCTCTGTCAGTGCGCCCCAGGGTGGCTGTGGCTACATTGTAGCTTGCCATCACCAGTGTGTGAATGTGTGTGTGAATGGGTGGATGACAGGTTGTGTAAAGCGCTTTGGGGTCCTTAGGGACTAGAAAAGCGCTATACAAATACAGGCCATTTACCATTTACCATTTACAAATTAAAGTTCCTGTAGGATAACAACAGAAGCAGGTTAATAGTTTGTTGTAGGCTTCGGTCGCAGTTAAAAGAAGCTAACCCTTGGCTACCCACTTCCTGAATAACATTTTTTTCAGCAGTTTGTTTCTGAAGTCAGTCACCTAGATACTGCCATGTTAGAATTTTTTTTCACTGCAGTCCTGTCCTGGCAATCATTTCAGATGTGTATGGGTATGTCCCACTGGGGCTTGTTACCTGCACCCACCTGAGACCCCCTCCTTCTCATTTCCCCTCCCTTCCTGCTGTTTACCTGAGCTGAGCTACTCTGGGCTCTCCACTCTGCCGTCTCTGGAACATTCTGTGTCTGTTTTCCAGCTACAGATGAGGTGCAGAGCCTCTTATCCTCACTGTTTTCCTTCTGTGCAATTAAATATTACCTGAGATGCAAGATTTATTAGCCATAGTCAAAAACCCCAGCAAGCTTAAACATCCAATCTAAATTCACATATTAAACAATGAAACAACGCACAAAAAAACGGTGTCGTTTCTGGTACACTTGATTGCATCATCAAGAATCTGTTGTCTCAGCTCTCGCATTTCCTCTTCCTTTCTTTCTGTCTCTCTACATTTCTGCCTCAAGCCTGATTATCATAAAGCTGCGAAACTGGTGTGCTAATAAGCTAGTAGTAATTCTGCTGCATAGATCCAGTATATAAAATTGCTTTATTAGACCCATAGCACCTGTCCTTTGGAGTGATGTGACCGATTCTCTGTAAGTCCAGACTAGAAAAGCCTTTTATAGCTCATGTATTCCTGCGTCTTCACCCCACATCTCTCTAATAACCCTTGGCTCTCTGAGCAGACTCTGCGTGAGAGAGCTTTTGGGCTTTGTACCAGGAGATTGCATCTTCAAGCCTAATTTCTTGTTTGTGTGTGTTTTAATTTGAAATTGCATGTACAGAAATATGGGGTTTTTTTTACATATAGTGCACTTGTGATTTGTGTGTTACAGTGAGGCAGCAGCTCACGCTGTAGCGACGCTGGCAGAAGCCACACTACAAGGCGGAGGTCAAATTGTCCTGGCAGAGACGGCAGCTGCTGTTGGGGCGCTGGCAGGGGTTCAAGATGCCACAGGTACCCAATTATCAGAAATACAGCAAACACTGAAGCAACATAAAATAAAATACACCTCAAATTACAGCAATTACATAATTATAAAAAAAGTCAAGTGTTTTTTTGGTATGCAGCATTAAACTGTACAGACAATGAAGGTCTGAAAAGTCATAGTTATTACCTCACTACTGCATTGCCTGCAATCACAGGTACATTAGTAACATTATCAAACAATCAAACAGTGGTAGTTTATATATAAACTATGTTATCTATATTGGCGACCACATAAATCAATTTATCTATATTATTTACGAGGACCCCAAAGATTAGATTACCGCTCTCTGGAATGACTCCAGCCTTGCCAATATATTTCCTCAGGTGCCCTGCAGTCCAACCATCAAGTTTAAAGTAGGTCTGATTAATGGTTGTCACGAAAAGTGCAAAACAGACGCACACATACAGAGATTCTTTCATTTATCAGAAGATAGTCTGATATTCTGTTGTTAGCCGGCATAAGTGGCACCCAATGTGATCGTCTGCTGCTGTAGCCCACATGTTGTGCAATCAAAGATGCTCTTCTGCATACCTTGGTTGCAGCGAGTGGTTATTTGACTTACTGCTGCTTTCCTGTCACCTTGAAGTAATCTGGCTTTCTCTTCTGACCTCTGGCATCAAAAAAGTATTTTACTCAGAACTGCTGCTTGCTCGTTATAGAGATGGCTGTTTGGGAAAATCCCAGTAGATCAGCAGCATATATGACACCCACAGCCTTACGACACTCAAAGTCACTTTCTTTTTCATTCTTATGCTAAATTTCAACTTTAGCAAGTAATCTTGACCATGTTTACATGCCTGATTACATTGAGTTGCTTGCCACGGGTGGCTGTGGCTCAGGTGGTAGAGCGGATCAGGTACTGATCGGAAGGTTCGATCCTTGGCTTCCCCAGTCTGCATGCCAAATATCCTTGGGCAAGATACTAACCCCAAGCTGCCCTCTGATGCGTTCATCGGAGTGTGAATGAGTGTGAATGTTGATTAATTTGCACTTTAGTTTAGAAGTGCTTGTATGAGTGGGTGTGAATGGGTGAATGAGGCATGTTGTATACAGCGCTTTAAGTACTCTGGGAGAGTAGAAAAGCGCTATATAAGAATCAGTCCATTTACCATATAATTGGCTGATTAGATATTAGTATTTTTGACCAGTGGAACAGCACCTTGAGGTGACTGTTGTTGTGATTTGGCACTATATTAAAATTAATAAGATAAAATTGAATCGAATCTAAATTGAATTGGAACAGGTGTGCCTAATGAAATGGCAAGTTTTGACGTTAAAAAAATTCTCTTGGTAGACTTTCATGGACAAACGGTAAGGAATGAGGAATATTTTTCTAAAATGTGTTTTCTATGTGTACTTTACAATAGAATAAAAAAAATTAATCAGTAAATGTGTGCAATTACATTTTACCCATTGGTGTTTGTGTGCGCTCCCCAGCCAATGGCCTTTCTAATTAGCCTCACTAAGTGTAAGCTTCCCACCCGTAGAACAACTGCGAGGCCTCTGAGCCCCCACATTGTAATCTGCTCTGTGCTGATGTGACAGATGGTGTGTATTTATGTGTGCATCTTGTCCCTTCTTTTAATGACACGTTATTAGAGGTTCACCCTCCGTAAATGCATAGTGCAAACGCTGCTATTGCCGTGTGTCTGCTGGGACTAGGCTAGTTTGCAGTGACAGCCTTCCCTCTTTGCTCAATAGCACTGACAACAATTTCGTGGATATGTTCCGTCAGTAGCCTCAAGGCTAAACATGGGGCTAATGTTTCATAAGCAATAACATTTTGCCAAAGCTGCATCCTGAGTATTTATTGTTGTTGAACAATTTGATTCACTGGTTAATTTAAACGAATCGGGATATTGAATTGGGAAACCTTTTGTAGCCTGCAAGCTGTCAATCTTTTACTTATTATGTCATCTGATCAGTACAATACACATATTACACACACACAAACATGCACCAACACACAATGTACACTAGTCCAGGGGCATGAAGAGGTCCCTCTTGTGCCCTCCTTAAGAGCTTTGATCCACTCCATTATCAGTCCATAGTCTAATCACTTGACCAGCTGTCAGCAGACACCCCCAAGCTCTGTTGCTATATTTATATAGATATAGATATAGATATATATACATATATGTGTGTGTGTGCCCATGGAATTTCTGTTTAAATCACAGTACGAATCAGACTTGTGTTAGTGGGAGTTTTAGAAACCAATGGAATCAGTTTGGTTCTGTAGCAGGCAAAGCTGGGAGACATGGTGTGTTTAATGGTTAAAAGGCTATAACAATTGCCAGGCTGTTGACTACAAAACAATTGTATCCATTACTTCATGTTGCCAAACTATTTTAGAAAACCAAATAACATCATCATGAAAGTTTCCTGTTAAAACATTGAGCAAATGCAAAAATAGGTGCTACGTCTGCATTCATATCCTATAATGGGGATTCACCTTATTCAAATCTAACATCTGCAGGCTTTGTTTATTTATTTATTTGGCATGTTGCTTCCTAAACCACGAAGAGCCATTTGGCTGTAATAGCTCACTCAAACATCTAACAGAGCTGCCAAATCCAGCCCTTCTCGCAACTATTGACCTTCGCTAATCACTGTAGTGCTACACAGCAGAGAAGACTGGTGTTTGAAGTGCACCAGCCAGGTTACACTGCTGATTGACTTGTGTAGTAACCCTACACCAGGGGTCGGCAACCTGCGGCTCTTTAGTCCTTATAGTGCGGCTCCACGTGGTTTGGGGAAATAAATTAGAAGTATTTAGCTGAAGTGTATTTTATTTATGTTAGTTATTTTTTTTAACTTGTAGTTCCAAATTGGAAGATTATTGTGATATTGAAATATAAAAATAAAATTATATTTTATTATTTTGTTCATCGCTCAAAATAAGTGTGGCAATAGCGGAAGCCGGTGTACTCGCCGAAACGCCGTGCATATATCGAGACTTTCAACCCAAGGTAGGCTAGTTATGGATCTTCGGATCCACATTGTCAGCAGCTGTTCTCCACCATGAACTATGTTATAAACAAACACCGCTCACGCCTCACAGATGGCAGCTTACAGTCCTGCGTAAAGATGAAAGTACAGCCCCGATTTGCAGACGCTGTGCGCAGAGGTTCAGGAGCATAAATCCCTTTGTAAACATATCAAGGCAGACCCGACGATGTTTCCATGAACATGCTTTTCAGCATCTCTTTATTGACCACTTTTCACACACGGTTGCTGTACGCATACAGCCGGCTGTAGCTTTTCAGCTCACAGCCCGACATATACCAACAACAGCATAGATAGCGCAGACATTAAGGCGGCGAGACGTGATTGTGGGTGCCGCTCACGTGCATCCGCCTCCCCTGCAGCGGCGCTGCAGACCACGCCCTGCCACACACATTAACCTGGTAAAATACATATTTAGGCAGAATTTTTCATCTTTTAGCAGCATAGTGCTTTTTTCCAATTATTTTTTTAAAAGTCAGGTCAAGGCTCCAAAAGCCCAAAGGCGATATGAGGGTGGCGGCTCACAACAGTTTTTGTTTGCTACTTGGATCATTTTAGTTCAGCTGAGTGTCTTTCCTTTTGTTATATTTCTTTAAGTGTTCAAAATGTGTTAATTACATAAATAAAATGTAATTTTCTCTGTAGCACTTCATGGATTTCATAAGCAACACACCTTAGTTGTTCACACAAAGCATAAAGGTAAAAAACAATATATACAGTGTTATCTTCATTTTAGATGTCAAAAAGTATTTGTGGCTCCAGTGTTTTCTTCTGCGTGGAAACTGGGTCCAAATGGCTCTTTGGGTGTTAAAGGTTGCTGACCCCTGCCTTACACTGACAAAGACACATATATAAACACGGCTATACAAGGCATGACCCTTCATCTCTAAGTAACAATGTTCGAGTGGCACTTCAATTACAGATTGCACTTCATCCCAGGTCTATGTTGCTGTGCCAGGCCAAAGCCACGCTCCCTATAAGGTTTCCTTCATAATAACTGTTAGAACAGCTTAACACTGTCACAAATAAGTGTCAAGAGGGGTGAGCAAGAGGCCACAAAGAGGACCAACAATTACGACCTTACCTGGCAGCAGAGTTCCATTTTTATTATTGAATGAATTGTTTTCTTATTTTGTTCAAAATGTTATTTATTCTCAGTTACAATTATATCCACCCTTTTTTCATCTGGGTTATGTGTTTTAAGTGATTCATTTGTAATGTGGACTGGTTGCCTGTAACATCCAGCATCTAAGCTTGCAGTAATGGGAGTGGGTATGAGCCACTGCCATCCCCTATGCTGACCTTCTTGCCTGCCTGTGACACTGTGACAGCTTGCAGGGTGGGGCAGAGCACCACGTGACTGCAGCAGTAATCCCTGCAGGCAGAGACGCACAAACGGAGCTGGGAATGGGGGAAGTAAGCCGAGGACGTTCAATTGGGTCATTGTTCAGAAATGCCTTCTCTGTAACATGTCTGCCTCCTGTCACCAACAACTACCTGGAGTTGATGGGTTCCCAAAGGCCCGTGTAAAACATAAAATCCGTCAACAGGATTTCCTCTAGCAAGAGAATGTAAAAGCAGAATTTCTTAGCAAAAGAGCCGACAACCTGTGGGGTTGAAAAACAAAACCAAATAAACTGTGGATCCAGAAAAAGGACCACTTTGGGCCATCTCAAAAACGGAGTCAGTCCCTTAGAGACTCCCATGTGAAAATCCCCAACTTCACAGCAATCTAACAATGCAATCTGCATTCACAAACACATTTTTAACACTAATTCATGTCTGCAAACCTAGATGGAAATGCATGGAGGGTACTTTGGGTTCAACATCTTGCCCATGGATACTTCTGCATACAGGTGCAGGAGCTGGGTATTGAGTCACCAACCTAATGAATACTAGACAACCCGCTCTAAATTAGCCAGCATCTAAATGAGCCACCATAAACAAAAACAAGATTTCTGAGGACAGTAGAATAGAATTGGGTAACCAGTGAGGAGTATAAGATCTTCAAATGTCTAATAGGTTTATTCAAAAAAGGTACCTGTGTCCACCTGTGAATGATTTCCCTGTAATATTAACATACCTGTGACCTAAGTACGCAGTTTAAACTAATAAAAAATGTATTAGTGATGCTGGTGCTGCATGTTTAAGTCCAACTTGTCCTCTTCTTTCCTTTAGGTTTGGTCCAGATTCCAGTCAGCATGTACCAGACGGTAGTCACCAGCCTTGCCCAGGGTAACCGGCCCGTCCAGGTTGCAATGGCGCCTGTCGCCACACGCATAGATAACACTGTCACACTGGACGGCCAGGCAGTGGAGGTCGTAACCCTGGAGCAGTGACCTTGGAAGGAGCAGAAAGCACTGATTGGCCACCTAGGAGATTTGTTTATCTGTTCTGTTTTCCGAGACATCATGCTGTGTACAATGTCAAATATATTTTTAAATGTGCATCTACAGGGGAAGTGTGTTATCAATGCATTGTGTTTACTATGTAAAGAGATTGCGTTTGTTGGTGTATTTTTCCCATTTAGCGTTGTTTTTTTGGTTGTTTTTTGGGGGTTTTTTAGCTCTGTGAAGTTGAGTATTTAGTATTTATTTCTTTACAATTAACCTTTGCTTAAAACAAAGATGAACCAAAAAGCTCGGGAGGAAAGCCACCCCTGTTTCACTGAGTGTGTCTCTTGTCTTTGTTTGGGATTTTTCACTATATTGTCCATGCTCAACTGTTTCTGTTATTAGGATGACGAATTCAGTGCCATAGTCGGAAAGTCACTCCTGTGTTTCGCCATATTCACAATTGCTGTTCCCACCTCAACTCACTAATTCTCTCACTGTACAACACAGCATCTGAGATGCAGACACTCCCAGAAAGTCTTGCCCTGTTGGGTTTTTTTCCCCTTTTTTTGTTCTACTGTAATCCAAGTACATGCCAAAATTTTGCAAAGACTCAGGATAACTTTCTTTTTTTTAACTGTTGGATGGCGGAGAGGACTTACTGACGCAGTCTTTTTGTCCACCAAATTTTTTTTTCATTTTTTTCCTAGTGCATGGATTCGAGGAGGCAACCGTGTTATTTGCAACATGAACTCCTTTGTATGTCACGCAGGACTCGGTGGTCTCCATCACTTTGTATGCCACAGGAAGCTGGTCATACTTGGACAGAAGCTGCACTATTTGTGATCCACGAAAGGATTTGCCACACGAAAAAACCATGCTTGCCGAGAATCAACTCTGTTTGATGAAGGTGTAACAGTTGGTGTGACTTTCACCAAAATTGTGTATTTGGGAAAAAATGAAGTCCAATAAAATGGCTGCTGTTCACCATTCATCCAGTTTCTCGGGTATTATTATACTCTTGATCCAAAAGCCTAACAATTAGTGGATTTTGTCATATTAACATCAAACATACATGTGAAAAGTCAGCTCTATAAAACCTTTTTGGCATCTGCAGGTTGGTTTTGTGATATCCTACAGCAGGAGTGTCCAACTCCAGTCCTCGACAGCTGCTGTCCTGCAGCTTTTAGATCCATCCTTGCTCCAACACAGCTGAATCAAATGATTGTATCGCCTCTTCAGCATGCCATCAACTTTGGTAAAGGTCTGATAACAAGTCATTCATTTGATTCAGTATAGTTTATACTTCAAATTCTGAAGATAGCCATAAAAAATGACTAATAATACATGTAAAGCCAAAGTTAAATGTGCTTTTCAGTGTTACGATGCTCACTTTTGTCTTTGTATATCAGTGAGAGATCATATCCCTAATATGGCAATCTCAGACATAGCTCCACCCACTTGCTTTCCAAGTTATCTGTATGCCAGAGACAGAATCAGAAAAGAGTTGGCTTAAAGGGAAGGTGGCCTTAAAATAGAGACACTAAAACACCAAAATATTTCTGTGAATCACACGGGAAAAAAAACATGGATTTGAAAATGATCATATTCAGCATATAATTTGTTTAGGGCAGACTTTTAAAGATTTACGATGACCTTAAAGCCTCATTCCTTCTACCTTTATCTGAGAAATACCACATTTCTCCACCTTTTACCCGTAATGGTGCACTTGCCAGAAAGCCCAATAACCTCCACACTCTCCTCTATAGCACCCCCCACCTTTCCCGTGACAGACATGGGCCTTGATTACATCATAAGCTGCCCGAAACCTCTGCTTTAAAGCCTGGGATTTGTGAGCAGGGCCCTTCTGTTGCAGAGCAGAACAGAGAGAGAAGCGTTCGGGCCTTAATCTATCAGGCGTCAGTGTATATCCCGCTCTTCCTCCAGATTAAAGCCGAACCAGGTTGCATTCACAGATGAAAAAGACCTTATTTTTCTTCTTCTTTTTTTAAACTATATACTCCCTTCTGGGATTTTTCGATTGGACCCCTTAATAAGGTCAAGTGTATTGTGTGCATCTGTGTGGGCAAGAGAAATGGTAATTTTCCATGTAAGTCTCTATATAATGGTGAAGTCATACACTGCGTGACATGTATGCAAACTGTCACTGCAGATTAGAGGTTTTATTAGCACGCTTTCTTTCTCGCTAAGTCTCTCCCTTCTTTATTTCTTGATCACTCTGCAGTATCCATCCATAAAGTGCGTTTCATCTTTTTAAATTTGTGATCAAAGTAGTACCAAAATAGCACAAGATAAAAGCCTCGGGATAGCTGTCACCAATTTTACCCACTGCATCATATAATGCTGGCGCTTCACCTAAAAATGTATTCTTTATTCTATTTAAAGTTGATAATGGAGTTTTTGAGAGTTTCATTTCAAAATAAGAGCTCAAATATCTGATAATAATATATGTTTTTAACTTCCAGCAAAATGTTGCTTTATTTATTTGACCTCTCCTCTCAAAAGGAGTTTACTATGAATAATTTTAAATACTGTAAAACCTCATTTTGTTGGCTAGAATGCCTCGGCTGTAAAGTCTCTTACATTAGTAGAAGAAAAAGACGCTTGCAGAATAGTTTAGCAGAGGTAACATAGGTATCTTATTCAAAAACAAGCTTTTCAGATTCATAAATTACTAAGTAGTTTGACTTAAATTACCACTTTGATTTGACTTGTTTTTGTAAACCTGGTTTTATGTTTTGGTAATTCTGATTTAAATGTAGTAAAAGTTGGTGGCTTTGTGTCATCTGGTCCTTTTTTTGAAGGCTCCTATCCTTCCTATGTGAAATGTATTTAACTCCCTGATGAAGGTTTGTACATGACTGTGCCATGAGAATAAACATCCTAAATAACCTAAATAACTGTAGACCTCATTCTTCTGGATGAATGAACACCTGTTAGGTGGTTACATCACCTGCATTTGTACCAATTGCTTCGTATGAGAAGTTCGACTGCTGCACGGAGGTACTGCAGACATCATGGTGCACCACACTGCAGTGCACACTTTCAAACTTCAGATAGATCATCTGACATAAAATCAAACCAAAATCTAGGCAACTAGGTTTCAGTGTGAGTGCCTGCACTCCATCCTGCAGGTGATAATAATAATAATGGATTGGATTTATATAGCTGATATGATATATTTAGTGGTGGAAAAGCTCTCAAAAGAGAAGAGGCAGCGATATTGATTCTCCCCCGCCGGCAGACTAGGCTGCAGCACGAGCTTCAGTGGCCCAGCTCCACAGGGGGCACTGCAGGGTGTGAAGGGAGGGGTTGGTCATTCTTGTTGCCTGGAGTCGTGCAAGCAGACTCTGGGGCAGAGCTTTAATCTCTACTAATCGTTTCTTAATACGTGCATCCCAGGCCCTATGCCCGTGTATGCATGCACACACACATATGGGCAAACTACTTGCAGTCCAAGCCCCCGCTTGCTCTAACAAGACATAATCTCTTACCGCTCGCCCATAGGGCTGGACCACAACTTGAGAATGCATCTCTCATCAAGTCGATGAACTCAGTAACCTGCCTTTGAGGTGCTCCTTAGGGCAGGGAACCCTGCTTTTGAGCTATGCATGCCCCTCTAGTGTAAAATGGAAACTTTTCTAATCTGTGGAAATGTAATCAATTCACTCTAAATCAATTTCAATTTAGATCTAGGCGTCTTGCCGACATGTTGCTGATGAAGCGTCTTCCCCCATAATGTAGTCTAATAATGGCCTCCTCACCTTCCCGGCTCACACCTCTGTCCACCTTCAACCCAGACACTGCGTAAGAACGATGATAATCTCATTTCACTAATGCTCAGTAGCCTGCATTAGAACACAGGCGAAGCACTGTCTCAGCTCAACTCTACCCACCCAGGAAACTGTGTGTGTGTGTGTGTGTGTGTGTGTGTGTGTGTGTGTGTGTGTGTGTGTGTGTGTGTGTGTGTGTGTAACAGAAAAAGAGAGAGAGAAATAGAGAAAGGGGCCAGGGGGGCTGTGGGATAGAGGGGGCACTGAAAAATGCGGTGTAACCTGAGCTGCTCGGTCCATCTGGAGAAGGCCTTGAATTGACAAGGGTTATCCCTCAATGCACTTTGCTGCAAAGAAGATCGTTAGACGGAGTCTGACACAATGGATCGGTCTTTTAAAAGTATTTATTTGCATTACACACAAGCAAATATGAATGCTAGATAAACAACGACGCATTTCAGTGATGAGTCAGCAGGTGTGCACACACAATTAAGAACATGTCAAATCCTTAGATTCATGCCCAGACGGTTAGGCGTTATACGTGCGTGATATATCTGTAACACGAGACAAAAAGTGCAGTTAACCTGAATCAGTTGCCCAGAAAATATCAGTCAGAGGTGAGATCCTTTATGTCAAGTAATATGTGTATCGCCACAATCTAAGCACTTACCCATTCTCTGTTTTAATGGCCAATCAGCACAAAAAGCAAAAGAGCCTCTGCAAAGGTCCACTGATGACATCCACGTAGATCAAATATAGCTAGCCTGCAGGCAAACAATACAAATCATATTAGCTAAAGCTGAAGTGTAGGCTATAAAGCAGGATTTAAGCAAAGGCAGATAAAGAGGTTTTAATCCCCAGATCCCCCTGTCACCTACATTAGCAGACCCTGACCCAGATATATGAAGCTCAGTATGGAGCTTGTTTTTTGCGCCAAACTGTCAATGGGCTGTTACAGCAAACCAAACTAATATTTGAAAGACTGCCTTACTCTCCACCCTTTCCATTTGGGGAAGGGAGGGAGGAGGGGAAAAGGCTGCACTGAAAAGAGAAGGGTAAGATGACACCGCACGGTTTGCCAATTATGCCATGGAGCTAAGAGAGGAACCCCCTGATGGCTGGCTGAAGGCGGAGGAGCTGAACCTGTAGACATAAAGTGGAGCACTGCAGAGCTGCACTCATTTGTCCACTTGTCAAAGACTGACTGATGAACCATTATTTTAATTACATTATCTTCATGGAACAAACTGCGAAGTATCAGTTTCTCCATTAAAAATCATGTTTGTCATCATTATTGTTTATTCTCCTGTCCCCACGCCCCAAATTAGTTAGTTTAGCCTACATCAGAAAAAAAAATTGATTCTGAAAATCTCTGCTTCTTCTTTTTCCTCTGATCTAAACTTGTCCAAATGAAATAGTAAGCTGAATATATGTTTTGTTGTCCAAGTACTCAATCCGCCACTACATGTTTGAACAATTATGCGGTAAAACTGTCAGCCCGATCTTGCAAAGTGGAGAACAAGGTAATACTTTAGGATGCAGTGCTAGACTTTTTCATTGATTGCATTCAAATATCTTGTTTCAAGAAAACACTTACATTGATTTTTTTCCTTCTTGTTTTTAGAGGTGAAACCGTCTCCCAAAGCTAAAAATTGATTTCTACTTGTCCTGCCTCCTGCACGTCATCTTTTCTGAATTAAAGAAGCCAAACACTTCGGAAGTTTTATCTAGATCCTGATTGTTCTTTAAAATTGCTCGTAAAAAAGTTTATACCAAGTCACTGGAGCTTTGAGGCCAGGGTGTGCAGGGGAGGAACAGAGTCTCACCCCACCCTTCACCACCGTCAGCCACTCACTCATTGACTTAAATGAGCTTCAGATGCTTCTCTGCTTGGGGCTATTTTTTGTCTCCGTATTGTTCTCAGCTGGTGGATGCTCTCAGGCAGTAGTTGGCAAGTCTAGAACCACCGGATCCATCTACCTCACCAGTGTGAGTTCTACCATTGCCAAACACCACCTGATAGCTGTAGGGCCTCTTCTTACAAATGAGCCATAAACATGGTTGAAGCCACTAAGACGAGATGGCATTTAACTGAAGCTGAAAAGCATAGAAAGAAGTGTTATTTTTAAACCAAGAATAACAATGAAACGATGTGAAGAATAAGCTGGCTATTTCATAGCCCTGCTCTGCTGATATCATCCTCCGGGGTCGTGGTTTAAGACAGACTAGAACAGAAGTGTCAGCTCCATATCCGCCAAAATACATGAAACCAAAGGTACAGCAAGGAGAATTCAGAGTTCAATCATCAGCACATTTTAAATAATAAATACCAAATGTATCAATCCACAATTGTGCAAAAGCGATGGAAGTCTGTCTTGTCCTATATTGGCACTACACATAATTGCTCAAAGTATATATACAGAAGCAAAAATGTGCTAGTGCCAAAATGGGCAAAGAAGAGGAGTGGCTGGGGCATCCAAATGCAAGCAGTTGTTGTTATAGAGACACCTAAGGACAGAAAGATGCTGAAGCAAGATGAGCGCAGCACAGCTCATGCAACCGCACCAGAGTCATTACATCACATTCACCCCACCCACAAGCACAAGAGAGAGGAGCCACAGAAAGTAAGCCGCGATAGACGGGCATCGTCATCAAGTGGTTCTTTCTCTGCTCTGTTTATGGCCCTATGGTAATTCACTGATAGTGAGCTCTCACAGTGAATTCTACCAGTGCCATACACAGAACAGGAGTCATTGTCACCCCAACACCAAGGGACAGTCATCAAAACTATGCCAACTAGACCACCAACCCACAAGAGCAGAGCAGATGCAACAGCCTGGAGAGAGAGTGCGAGAGAAGAGAAAGAGAAATGAGAGCAAGTGAAGAAATTATTTTAGAACAGCCACAGCCTTCAATATGTCCGTAGTGTTGCAGTGACGCAGCTTAGCTCAAGACTGACTGCACTGCAGTGGACTGATCCACACACTGAGTAACAGGTCAAAGCCACTGTGCCTCAATGTGAGCAACTAAATATAAGTCCAGTCAATCCTACGAGTGAGCAAACACCCTCTTCTACCTGTTCCCGTCTAATCACCTGTACTCCCGCTTTTAGATTTCTAGGAACAGAGAGCTAACCCTGACAGCATACGCACCTGATAATTACATATAAATAAGCATGTTATGCAGTTATAAAGCAACTATTAATGTTTTTTTGGTAAGTCGGATTTTATGTTGTTGCTTATAACATATCTAGAGGACATTTTACAAGGTTTCGTGCAATACTAACCCTGAATCTCAACATCTTACCCACACACAATCAAGCCAAACAAAACGCTTGATGGATTTTGCTCTCTTTAATTTTTTTACTAAACAGTCAAGCAATTAATATTTGGGAGTGAAAGTCCAAGATTTTTCAGGAACAGGCGCTGTTTTTTTATTCACACAGAACTGGATAACACTGACAAAATACATTAGCCACTGCTTTTTTGCTAAGACCAAACAAGGAAACATGTATGCACTTCACTGATCAGTTATCAAACCCACCGATGTCTTAAACTTAGGTTTGGCACATAAATGACCCTTACGTGGATTGATCAGTAATCCCTTTACATCCTGGCTCCTGCCCTCCCCCTACACAATCAACCTGCTCAAAGTGTGACACCTTTAACAAACCTCTTCATTTACTTGCTGTATTTGTGTTGAGGTGCATCAGTTATGTTATAACGACCCATTCATTTTAACCCTTGTATGGTGTTCGGGTCTGTGAGACCCGTGTTCAGTTTTTTTCAAAAGAAAAATTAAACAATTAATTATTTTTTCACGTGTAAATGTGTTGTGTCTTTCCACTCACTCCACTTGATTATAACTGATTTATTTATAACATTTTATATAAAAGAAAAACGAGAAGCACATTAATTCATAAATGTGATCTAACAAAGGTAAAGGGAAAAAATTAACCATGTTTGCTGTTCATATGTCTTGTAATTGGGATGAAGTAAACATCTGTTGAGTAATTTAACATAAAATTGTTTGATAGTGTTAATTTGGAAAGCCAAAACTCTAGCGGGTCCACCAGACCCATGAACACTGGCTGAGTAACAAAAATACGAACACCACACAAGGGTTAATCTTTAAAATCTGTGATAAAATAAAAGTTTTCATCATTGTTGATGTTGTTGTTATTTCAAGAGTTTACATGTAACTAGTATGAGTACAGGTAAAAGCTGGCTTGCAGGTTTTGTGTCAGTGAAATGAAAATAAGGATAAATTCACATATCGTGTGGTGTATCTGTGATTTGAGTCTGAGCTTTAAAAACAACAAATCCCAGTCAGACTGTAGTCAGACTAAGATATCAGCAATGAAGCAACTCAACTAATTCAAAATGTCTGTCAAATAAATATGCAAGGCTTCCCTTACAAAAATATACACAAACAACTGAGCCTATTTCTCTTTTCTTTCACATCGAAATAATAAATAAAAGGGTTTAAATCACGATACTGCAGCTGAATCATAACCTTCAAACCATCTCCTGACCTTGGATATGTTGTCAAAAGAATCTTTGCGCCACAGATAATCCGAATCAGAGAGAAGCTAGCTGTCCTCAGCGCTGTCCTGGCAGGGCCCAGACGCCCCACCCTTGGTTCAGCCATTAGCTTCCCTCACCCTGGGCCCTGCAGTGCGCGGAGCTCCCATTGATTCCAGCGATCAAACCATGTACTAAGTGATTTTTCAGACGCCCAAATGGCTCCCTGAGCTAGACTCCCATTGCCATTTCCTGGAGAAATCAATACCACTAAAAAGCCAAGTCCGGAAAAAAGAAGAAGAAGAAGAACCTGTGTCCTTTAAAGGTTTGCCCGTGTTTTTCCATACCTTAATTAGTTAAGAAAGGAGCTTCATGAGATTTTAGTAAGGTGTTTTTAAATGAGAGCCTCTTACTCATGGAAGTAGAACAGAGAAAAACAAGGACAGTATTTCTGAATGAAAATGAAATCAGAGAAAACATTACTTATATAATTTTGTTCAATAATTTATTCAATTTGTTCAATAATTTAAGACATGGAAACCTGCTCTTGTTAGCGATAAATGTAGGTTTATCTGGGAAATAAAAAACAATTTAAAAAGCCATCTTGTTTTGATGTGTAGTGAAGACCAACTGTCAAAGGGAAAAAAACATATGTGAGGTTTGTACATTTGCAATAATTATGTAGCTTTTCTCACAGACAATTTCCTGATGTCGTCTTTGACAGCTTAATTTAAACCTAAACATGGCGCTATAGTTACATTTCATGAATTCAAACATAGGCCAACTTATTAAAAATCCAAGATTACATGAGAATATTACCTGAAATGATGTAACACGTCCAAAGGGATGTTTAGGAAGCACTCATAATTCCCTTTCATCGTGATTAGACACGCTGTATATTTTTGAAATGTTAACACTGCAAAGTCCGGACTTCCTTTTCTTTCTGTCATCGTTAATTTAACCTCAAAGCTGCTCCAAAGCCCCTTGTTAATCGCATTTGTCTGAATAGGGAGTCTACAAGTCCTCAACTTCACGGTTATTTCAGGAGGATTTATCACTCCTCTAAGTCCTGCAGCAAGATCTAAATTCAGTCTTATGACCTGAAACACACAAAAATCTACTTCAAGTCACATCTAAGTACTTATATTTTTTTTTACGTTTATATTTAGGGACCCCTCCCAACCCCCAACCCCCCCCCCTTTTTTTGGCCTGATTAGGAATACTGTCCTGTTTCATAACACCACACACCCTGTATACAATCCTAATTACCCTCAGTGTACAGGGATTTTAAAAAATGGGAAAGAAAAGAAAAGAAAAGAAAAGAAAAGGAGAAAAAAATTTCAACATACCCAATTCAGTATTAATCCGCAGGATTAGGTTGAGGTCTTCACTGTATTCTCTTGGTATTGGACGGAAATAGAAGCAGG